CTAAAAAATGACCACTGATAAGTGGGCATGTTTGAAAACACCTAGAACCCTGGCCTAAAAAGATCCAAAAAGTCCACAAAATGGGAAGCGCATGTGCAAGTTCATAGGCACTAATCGCGTCCGACAAATGCTATACGTAAAAGCAGTAGCCCGAAAGCGATCGGCTGCATCGTCCCCCCCCTCCAATTAACACCAATCCAGGGGCCGCTTATCCGGCGGATTAGCCGTTCCTCATGAAGGACAAACAGATGGACAGATACACACACAAACGCACTGACACAATCGATTGGATTAGCTAATGAAGCGGAAGGAACGACAAATCAGGGTTTGTATAACGAGAAAGGAAACGAAAAGCCGACGTCTAGAAGTCAAAAGTGGAAATCGTGGTTGTTTCGTATGTCCGAGGTAAATTACTTTCCTTTAGTATTTACTATACTCTGCCATACCCCCAGGGGGTATACCCCCCATGGGGGTACAAAAGGGGTACGAGGTGGGGGTACAAAGGGGGTACGGGGTGGGGGTACTAAGGGGGTATGGGTGGGGGTACAAATGGGGGTACCCCAGCAGCACAGCAAATTTTTCTCTAGCGACCTCCCACACATACCACATGTCGGTGGATCGCAAAAATACAACAAGAAATGACGAAGTCAGCTGGAATTGTATCAAGGCAGTTAATAAAATACCTAATTTGAACTAAACATTTTTTAAGTTGAAAGTTTATCCGCGGACCAATCTTTTTGAAATAAACCCAGAAACCCCTGGTAGCGTTATAGTAAGAGTTTCAATAATGTTTTTAGTAAAATTCAGACATGTTTTAAGTGGAAAAAAATCACAAGAATTTAAAAAATGTTTACTTCAAGTTTCGTATTTTATTAACTGCCTTGGTGAAATTCCGGCGGACTTCGTCAGGGTGGGGGTACCCCCTTTGTACCCCCACCCCGTACCCCCGCTGTACCCCCACCTCGTACCCCTTTTGTACCCCCATGGGGGGTATACCCCCTGGGGGTATGGCAGAGTATAGTATTTACGATTCCTAGACAGAAAGTGCTTCAAAATTGCGAAAATCCAAGATACGAGCAAAATTTTAAGATTTAAAAATTACGTTTTCGAAATTTTAAAAATTTGATCGAAATTTTGCTAAGAAATTTATAAAACCGAAACTCAACCTCAAAACCTCAAACCTCAAAACTTATACAAATTTTTTTTTAAATTTTTGACGTTTCAGCCAAAAATGTATGAAAACTGACCAAAAAGTCAAAATTTTCCAATGTCCAAAAATATTTTAAATGTTTTGTAATTTTCTAGCAATCAAAACCACGAAAAACATTATAGAAGTACGCTATTTATTATTTTCCGGCCGGTATGGGCGGAGAAACCAAAATTCGTTTCCCCTGCTAAGGGCCCAGTACCCGGAAATCTGAAAGTCCCACCTTATATAATTTTGGCGTGTATCTTTGTGTGTGTGTGTGTGGATGTCAGTTTCGAGGCCCGATTTGAGGGCCTTCCCGTGCATAAAATGCTCTAATTCTCCGTAACTTGGGGAAATCGACCCTTCTGTTTCCGATGGCGTTCTCAGAATTTCGATAAAATACAAGTTTACAAAGTTAAAACCGGTTTTACTCATTTTTGGGGGTAATTTGCATAATGTGAAAAAATAGAAATTTCTTCATTCTTGCAAGTTGCACGCGCGCGTGTGGTCGGCCGGGGGGAGGGGGTCCGCAGGACCCGAGCTATCGGAAAGTCAAATTTCTTATGCAAAGGCCGCATTCCAGCGCCCAAGGCCCGCGAAGCGGGTTTTGGGCGCTGGTATCAAAATTAAAAGTTAGACTAACTAACCCGACTCCAAACACTGTGTTGGCAAAAAAGTGCTTATAAGCCAATGTTATGCCCAAAATCAGATGGAACCCCCTGCCTCCCGTGACCTCGTCGAAAATGGAAGGGATGACGAGCAAATTGAGGCGTATCCCATCCTGGGGCGTGCTCCATCCTAAATGCAAAGTCAGCAACACCCCCTTCTTGGGCCCATCCTTCCCCCCAGAAGGCCCATTCATCCTCTGCCCGCGGGAGGACCCATTCTTGACACGTTCCGTTCACAATCGGACAACCCGCCCTTCTGCCTACAACTTGAAGCCCTAGCGAGAAGGCTGACACAGAGCGGGGGTTCACCACCAGCGAACACCTATTTTGGATGCGAAAAGAAGAAGCCAAACAAATTTGTACACGGGGGACGAGCGTGGGCAGTCGAAGGGTTGTGCTAAAAAATACACAAATTCTATCATCTTATTGTGGTTCAATAATTAAAACTAAATAATTTTTAGCTAATGGTTAGCCTTTTTAAGTGCAAAACAATAAATAACAAACAAAACAAATAACGTAAAAGTAAAAATATAATTTTCCTAAAAAACAAAATTTCAATTTTTCCAAGTATCGATTTCTTATACAAACAGAGGAAGTGTTTCTACATTGTTTGTATTTTTACCGATCCAAAAACTGAAAACTTTACAAATTTTGATTAAAAAATACAAAAAATAATGATTTTTCCACCAAAAATGACCAATTGAGGCCAATATGTCACTTGAAAATTTTTCTCGAAGGTTTTAAATGCTTTTTCGACTTAAAATAAAGCTGAATTTGTCTAAAAGTGCCAATAAGACACTTAATATTACGTTATCAGGAATTTCTAGATTGATAGAGAAAGGTCAAGCCCCCCCGCTAAAGTAACGATTCTCCGATACACAGAAGTCAACGCTGCCTAGAAATGACCCGCTTAAAATAAAAATGGATCAGTGATGAATCCAAGAAATAATACTGCAACTCCCGAAGTAGAAACTGACGCCAGTCTCGAACGGCCGGAAGTCCGACGAACCCCGCCGCCATTCAGCCCCCGAGAAAAATGGCAGTGCGCGTCCCAGCAAAGATATATTGGATTTGAAAATCCCCGCCAACATTCCCGGTGAAGCAATAAATTCGGCTTCCCTGAGCTTTTCTACTGGCCAGCCCCTGACAGAAAAACATTAGAAAAGTTCGGCTGCTGGGCCGCGACGGGTTGTTGCGTCAATGGCAGGTGGAAACGATGTTAGGCCAGCGAGCCGATGGGACTATATTTCGTTAGAAAGTGGCTTTCTGGCGATCGGAAGGACACTCTCAATCTGACGCGTGCTATTTTAAAAACAGTATCCTGGAGAGTTCGCGAAGTCGGAAGTTATCTACCGATAACTAGCAAATTTTTTGCGGCCTATGTTGTTAGCAGTTTTTGAATTCTAAAGAGTCAGCAAAAGCTTCAAAAAAATCTCGCGTAATTTTTAAATTTTAGTTTTGTTCATAAATTTGCAAATTATGAACAAGATAATAATTCATGAACATTCTATACTTGAATTGGCGTAAAAGCTATATAAATGGTTGATTATTGGGACCCTAGACCGAAAGAAATAGAGGGACCAGAACACACAACCCCTAGAAAGACAAGAAGACAGCCGTAGTGCATGGCCATTGCCCATCTAATGCATTCCAATGGTGCCCATCTCGTCTCTCCAAAGACAAAGTCCACACAATGCCCACTACTTGCCTTTACGGCTGGCTGTGGTCCCAGCGGGGATCGGGCCCAGGAAAGGCGTGGAAATCTGAGCGCAGATAGGGCTTCTCCCCCCACAGCCCCATAATCGCTCACCTCGCCTCCACGTGAGCCATCCTTCCCCGGCCATGGCCGGACGTAGATAGATCTAAATTACGTTTCCACTCCTGCCCGTGTTATTAGCTTGCCGTATCACATCTGACCTTTTGGCAAATAGGCGCTATTTCGGAATAGGGGACCCACTTTGATTACCCTGAAAACCACTTTTTCTGGTGCAATTTTGCGCGCTTGTTCCCAAATACGGTGTCCCAGCCCGTGAAAACGTACATTTGTACAAAAATATTTTATCTTGATAGGATGTCTTTAGGACACGAGACGGGAGGTCTTGGCGTGGCCAGCGAACTTGCTAGCAACCCACTTGGATTACTCTAGTTTTGGCTTGAGCTTGACTTGACTGGAACACATGCGCTAAGTATAATCTAGTATTGGAACAAACACGCTTCTGTGTTTTAATAACAGCTTATCGCGACCTTACTTTACGTTACAGGGGCGAAGAGCCAGCATAGTTTACAGGTGGGCTCTACTCACGTCATCATCGTCATCAGGGTCGCCTAGGCTTGGTCTCAATCAATCTAAGATCGGGCTTACTAGCATTTAGCATTATTATGCATACGTTTAAGCTTATCCTCCAAAAACGGAGCTAGGAGTGTATTGTAGCCAAAAGTCGGGCCTGCGCCGCTAGGTTCCCTAGCAGCCCATTAAACTAAAATCTTTTTTTTGTGAAAATGTTAGGTTTTAAAATTGTAAGGTGTTTTTTCGGGACCAGCGCGCAAAACTATCCAGGAAAACATCGCACAACCCCCAGTTTTGGTATAAGAAAAGTGGGTCCCCTATTCCGAAATAGCGCCGGCAAATATTTGTAAGAGAAAAAAGTAAAAGATTTATGTTGCACCCGGGTAAGACGATATCTGATAAAAGGACAATTTTCTTCTAAGGGATTAGCGAATTATGCGTATATGGCCGAACAGTAAGAGGCGTTTCAGGGGCTAACAACAATAGACATTCTGAAATCCGGCGCCGGGTCGTTAGTCGAACTATGCCACGGCGTGAGAAATCGAAGGCAATGCAAAGGCAGCTTGGACGGGCTTTTGTTCGACAAGTTCACACGTCGGTACCGAAAAAACAGCCCAAGTGCGAATTAAACAAATAGAAATCGAAACTAAAACAGCCAGAGCACAAATAAATACATGGCGGAATGCATGCAATTCAGCACGGGGGTGTGAAGATCAAGGGATGTGCAATAAGTGGAGGCGAAGAGGCAGACGAGGCTAGATACGCGTAGTGGGTAGAGTAAAGCATCCAACAACCGGTGTCTTTGGATCGTTGCACTCGGAGAGAGCGGAAGAGAAGAGAGCTTTGACTTGGGCTACTTGGCCGCGAGGGCTTGTGACTGGATGCGGTTCCTGAAATAAGAAAATAAGTCTCAATAAAAACAACCGGCCGAATGGCCATTTGATCAGATCTAAAATTCGAAAATCGAAATTTCAGTGAATTAAATGGCGCTCTGCCCTGTCTAAAGTAAGATGTCAAATCGAGCGCGTCTAAAAACACCAGTTCTTTCGCTTGATCCGCGGCGACCAACTTTTTTTTTTCCAAACGGGCCACTTTCCTAATATAAATAGAGGAAGTTTTTCTAAATCACCATTTCTCGACACAAATGTCAAAATTTCGTATTTCTTATTTTGTATATAGTTAAACTTTGCTACGATATTAAACCAATTACTATTCTGCTCCAAGGAATTTCAGGACTCAGAAAAAAATGGGCCCCCTATAATGGAAAAAAAAACCAAATGACCAAATCGGGTCGGGACTTTTGTATTAGGACACCTTTCGAACGTGCTGCACAAGGCGAAAACTCACCTAAACTCGGTGGCAAGGCGGAGTTGCTTGTTGTGGCGCGGGACGGGTGGTGCGTTGTCAAAGTTGTAGAGCCGGATGCGGGAGTGCGGTTGCCATTCTCTGGAAATGAAAGAGTCCCGCAAAACGACCAAGATTTACCCGGCTTGCTGATCGGTGAAGGGCAGGATGTACAGGTATTCTCCGGCTGGCCGACCGCCCTTCCGCAGCTTCTCCTTGGCAATGGGCGGGACGCTGGGATCGGCCAACGCGTTGCACTCGTCCAGGTAGCGGCCGATGACTAAACAAAAACATTTATCCTTTTATGAAAAATGCCCGCTATTTTTTTATTCCCCATACTTGAATTTGCGCAGCGGTCCCGCAAAAGACAATCTTTACAAAACCAAAAATACCGCCGGCCACCACTGGGCCATTACGCTTACAGGTACGGTCCTTGTAACAGGACTTTTTCTTGGTAAAATAGTAGCGGGTTTGCTCTGAAAAAGCAAGAGGTGTGAAGGAGGCATCAAAACGTACTGATATCACCGGGGACCGTTACGTGCACAATGTCGTTGTGGTACAAGCCGAGGCTGTTCATCGCCCGTGGCTGTGGGGCGATCCTGGATCGGCGAGAGCGGTCGGGGCGTGTCTAAAACTTATCGTCATATAAAAAGTAATAAGCAAAGAAATAAATAGATCTGATTATAGTAAGGCTAACGGACGGACCCGCACGCACCTTTTTCCTCATGGGCGTATCATCTTCAGTGGAGTATTCCGCTGACGAGACGGCTTCGGTTTTCGGGGACGCCACCTATACGGAGGAATAGATTTACGGTTCTTTTTCAATATCGGGTGAAGAAAATTTTTTTCCTCGGGGGATAAATAGATGAAGCTTTCCCCACCATTTCTGCCATTGCTAAATTTTGCGTTACCCGTAAAAATGTACCGAATTCTGGCGGAACGACTCGAACGGATGGTTACGAGTCTGCATGCGTTCTGTGGATCCAGGCACAGGCGGCTTGTTCTCCGACGTGAAGAACTTGGTGATGCTGGCTTGTCGGGGATCTGTAAACAACACACTTGTCTTTAATTGCTAAAGGGCCACACCTGGAGCCTCAATCTTCCGTCTCCTAGCACTCGAAAGCAGTGGCTGGGCGGCACGCTTTCGGTTGATGATATCTTAAAAAACAAATGACGAACAATTTACACCCTTACTCAGCACTGGAGTGGCCTTCGGATGCTGCAAAAAGAGGTTCACCACCGGCTTCGTCTCTTCCGGCTCAGGCTCATCTTCTGAAATGAGAAATGGCCGTGGACGGTTTTCAAAGCTCATGCCTATTGGCGCGTTTTCCTTGACCCGCTCCGCACTGCCGCTGCCTTCGTAGAAATTCATCCGACAAATTTCCTTGGTGTAGCCCTCGGTGTCATTTTTGATGCACTAAAACCGTAAAAATTTTTCCCAAGAAAAATTACCGAATCGGAGCAGTTGATCCGTTCCTCAAAGTTGGCAAAAATCGCATCGCACTTTCTGCGGTACTTTTTGACGTAGTCCACGTAGTATGGGTTGGAATATTTCGTGTTGAACCTAAGAAAAAGGTCAAGAAGTCCGGGGGACCATACTTTTCACAATTATTGCACATCAGCACATAGTCGTTGCGGAGATCATCGATCGTATTGTATCTGGAAATGGAGATGAGCATCAAGCAGTAATATACCGGCCATTTTCCAATTTACTCCTCATTGTTTTCAGGTCCATCGGCTTGGGGATGTCTCTGCGGTAGCCAGATACAGTATTTTCTACGGGTTCGGCGAATACCTAAAGATTGTGTTTACAGCGATAGGAAATTGAAAAATAGCCAGGATAGAGAAGAATTGGGTCAATTTGCGTACATCTTTCGCGTCCCGCTTCGAGATAGCTGTCAGTAGCTCTTCCATGTGGTCAGAAGGCGGCTTGAATGCCATGGCAAAGGCGCTGCACGTCGCCGTCCAGTGCTCAAGTTTGTACGCTTCGCGCTTCTTGCACATTTCCGCCAGCATACGCAGCTTTTCGACGTCACTTCTAAACGGGGGTGTTTCATCGGCAAGTCGAATTCGAAATATGCAGAATTTTCAGGCGAATATGTTAGATCCAAATAGTCAAAAATCTTACCGAATAGCCCTGAACTCGTGCAGCTTGTCACTAATCGACGGATCGTCCATAGGGTTCAGCGTGGGCAGATTGCGCGACTCCAGCTCGGCCTAAAAACCGTTCAAGAAGCGGATAAATGGTGTACCTGCAAACGAGGTATCAGCGGGACACCGCACCGCTGCTTCCGCTTCAGATACCAGTAGTCGACCACCTTTTTCATATGCGCTTCCGCCCGGAATTTCTTCGCGATGGCATCAATACTGAAAAACAAGTAATAAAAATGTTCCAGAAGCTCCAAAAAAGTAGCCATCAGCCGAATTTGCTACTTACTTGTCCTGTGAGATTGAGGGCACGTTAATCGGCAAAAAGGTGTGCTTCTTGTTGCGTAGTTCTTTGGCGACCTGAAGCCGATTATATTGGGGGAAATTGACTTTTGGATACCGCTCGAAATCTTATTTCCATGGCCTTCAGCAGCTCCTCCTTGTGCGGATCGTTGCGCGCATAAATCTTTTTTGGATTTCCTTGTTCATCGGGCTCGTGGAGAGGGCAGTAGAGCTTGCGCTGGACGTCGACCTTTTCCGAGGCGTCCGAGTCATCGTACTGGCTCACCTAAAAGGAACGCTTGCCAAAAGCGATGGAAATTTTTAAAATAAAATTTTCGACCCTGTAGTTGCTCTCTATTTAAACGCCTTCGCCAAATTTCATTCCATCAAATGTTTTTTGATTGCTAATTTGCTTCCGAGTTTTATCTCCTTGACTAGATTTTGAAAACCGCTTTTTCAAACCCAGAAAGAATCGGCGAAATGAGCATTCACTATTTTACCGCCATCTTTGACCAAAAGACCCACATTCATGCACAAGCCGGCCGCTTGGGCGCAGGTGACATGAAAGGCCCGTGCGCAGCTCTTGTGCGAACATTGGACGCAGGCACCTTGTTTTCTCCTAAAAATAATTAGAGCGAAAACCAAAAATAGGCTCACGAGCATATCAAGCACTTCAGCTTGGAGCGAACGGCAAGACACGTCTGATGGCCCTCGATCGGTTCAAGGAAGATTGGGTTGAGGAAGTGAACCTGCGGGATGAATGACACAACTCATGAATAATTACCTCGTTGAGCCATATCGCGCAGATGACGTGCGCCCAATTGTTGTCAACGGTAGTTTTGAAGGCACCGCCGGTGTTCGGGCACAGCAGGCATTTCACCGTGGCTGATGGGGAAAGTTTGCAGCGACGGCACATCCACGAGCCTTCCGGGATGCACGGGACACCGTAGCACTCCTAAACGAAGAGCTAGAAAATGTTCTAGCCGCAAATTTTACCTGATGTACAGCCACATTGCACATGTCGCAGTAAAGAATTTTGTTGCAATCATCATCCTCGGCGTCGTTGCACACCGTGCACAAATCATCCTCGCTGCATTTGCTCAGGTAGCCCTCTAGTTTTTTGGGCTAAAGCAAAGCGTAAAATTTTTAGCCAAATCAAACCTGAAATTTGCTCTCCTTCTCCAGGCGGTCGATGATCTGGCAGAAGAGATCCGGGTCTATCTGAGACTTCTTTGGACGCCCTTCATTAACTGCTTTCAGCCAGAGGTTGTCCTGAAACCGGGATTGTTTTTGAAGACGGCTTTTGGTGGGAGAGTAAATCAGTAAAATTCATATAATTAGCTTACCATGCCGTCCTGCTCATATTCCACCGTCTCGTCCAGCTGTCCAGCAGTTGGTGGCGCATATTTGATGTATTCGTCCGGTTCGGTCTTTGCACGTCTGCGATACGGCAAGGCCGGACATTCCCTGAACAAAAATTATAGGAAGAAAAGTAGGTGGCATACTTGTACTCGGCGGGAGGCTGTAGCTTCGAAGTATCAGCGTCGAGCGAATGCGTCAGGATTGACTAAAATAATTCAACAATTACATTAGTTTGATGTCACACAGTGATTCTCTCAAAGCGCTGATTCGAATCATACCTCTTTGCACTCCTTCCATCGGCCCTGAGCACGACCCGTGTTGTTCACCGTGTAAGCATAACCCGGGTGGATGAGCCGGTCGCTGCGAGCGAGCTGCACCGGGTTGAAATCGGCCAAGACGCTCAGGCCCGGGTCCATCGCATATCAAGCGGGGCTGAAAAGGGATGGGTGAATATTGCGAACACACGCTAATAAGGAAGTCACAGAAAAGATGTTCTAAATGAAGTCGATGTAGGCATTTGAGTTAACAAAACTAGATAGCGGAAAGTGTTAGTCATTGGAAATCACCGCAGAAACGCGATTAGACGTCATACCGAGGCCGGTGTTTTAGATGAGTCGCCTTTGCGGTGGTCTCAGTTTGTTTTTTAAAACTATAAAACAAAAAAGAAGTTTTCCAAGTCAAGTTTTTGCACGTTGAAGGATGAAACAACGGCTTATGAAAGCAAAAGTGTCTGTGCTTGTATGGGCGCGGGATTGGCAGCGACGCAGAGGAAGGGCAGACGGTCAAGGGGACATCGGTTAGGGTGCGAGCTCTGGCACAAGAACGACACTGCACAAAAGGCGAGAAGGAAAACGGTAATAGAAAATAAAAAAGGAAATAGGCATGGTTTTTATTAGTTTTTGATAATATATGTGTATTTGTAGCTGGCAAGTGGGAAATTATACAAATTTCGGTGCTCCGCAGTAAGATCTACGGTTCTTTTTCATAGAATAGGTTCTTAGTAATGTAATAGTCGTGTAATAGCGTTTTTTTTTTGTAAAATTTAGCTAGATTTAAGTAGAAAAACTATTGAGCAACTCAAAAAAGGCGTCTTAAAATGTAAAATTTGGCCGAAAAGGCGCTTTTCGTTGGCAATTTTAAATTTTTTTTGAGCTCGCAATCTTCTTAAAAAGCTTAAAAAATTCCGATTTTCATACAAAAATCGGATTTTCGACCAAAATTTTACATTTTAAATCGTTTTTGCATTCTTAAATATTTTTGCTACATGAAATCTAGCTAGGCTCTTCAGACTTTAAATGTAAGAGTGTTTTTATGGTGAGCCCAGCCTATAAGGAATTCCTCCCTCGATTTGCGAACCGGCCTAGCATAGAGCGCGTGACTACAACCCATTTCCCCTGGAGGGATTTCAGCAATTGCCCTTCAGAATTTGTACCCATATCAATTATTCTGGGCGGGCGGTCGGGGCCAGAGCTCGCCTCGACTTTCTGTTCTCAATTTCGGATTAGCCTTATAGGGGGAGGTGAGGCTGGGCATATGCAACAGCATCTCCCCCGGCCGGGTGAGGGAGGATTAGTGCCAAACCGGGGGCCGAAAAAAGGGGCTCTTCCCAAAATAGCAGCTGCAAATCGGCGACGGCGACGACGTGCGTCGCCGGAAACGCGCGAAGAAGATCGATTCCCGGCGGTCTCTCAGTATCTTTTGTGGGGGAAGGAGGTATTTCTAGAATTGTCTGCGGGGGGAGAGACCCATTTCTCCAATAATTTATTCGCATCAAAAGAAACGGCAAAAAATCACATGTTGTGTTGCAGGGGAATTCAATGAGAGCGGGCTGCGGGGTTCGCGGGTACCGGGTGCATGGCATAAATTTTGAAAAAGTTGAAAAAAAAAGACAAAAAAATCACATCAATTTTTGCGATTCGTTCGCGTATTCTAGCAAGGCACAACAAGGGCAAAATGGCAGTTGAAGAGAGCGTTTATGGTTTATGTGGGTGCTTTCGCGTTAGCGGGGGGGAGCTCTTTTTTACGTTTCCGCCTATACCTGGCATTAAAAAACCAGTTTTTATAGTGCTTTCAGTAGTTCTTGAGCTCTAGAAAATTATAAAAACGTGCCAAAATTCAAATTTTAGAAAATTTTCATCGTTTTGCGTCATTTTACATGTGCTCTTGACCAAAAAAAGACAACTTTTTGATTTTCTGGGATTTTTAGGTAGCCAAAAGGGTAATTCCGTAAAAAACGTATGTTTCAAATACCGGCCTATATCATGTTCCTGGCGAAAACTCGACTCTCCCCCCCCCCGCTAACAGGAAAGCACCAAGGTGAGAACCGGAGATGGCATGGCAAAGTGAAGGGGGTAAAGGGGTGTTTTTGGGGGATAATGGGTCCCTGGGGGATACCCGATTGGTAAAATTTACTAAGTAGAACAGAGATTTTATGAATTGCAAATTGAGATCTATGAGAGTAATGGTTTTTAGGGTCGCCTTATTGGGAAGACTAGGGGTTTTCAAAATGTTAGAAGTGCCATAGATTAAACTCTGACCTAGATTTTCCAAAAAAAGAGGTCTGGATGGCTAGTTTATGGTAGACAGCGACAATTCCACGATGCGCCTCCTTACACGACCTCAGATCGCGAGGGTCGCATCGGTAGATCGCTGGCGAACGACGAATTGAGCGTGTCGTTCACCGAGTTTGAGCCGCCGAGATGGGCGGGCGGCACGAGCGGTGTCTTCGTTTGGCGGAGCGCTGATTCTAGAGGTTGTTTTAATGAGCGCGAAGAGAACCTACTTGGTGGGATGGCGCTGAGGTTGGGCTGGCTTCGAGGAGCCGCAACCGGGCCGCTCAACGGGCTGGAGGTGACGCTCACTTGTTGCTCCAACAGGGGCCGGTTTGCCTGGAATTTGTTATCGGGTTATGGTAGAAAAAAGTATAAAAACTATCTGATTACATTTTGAAAATACTTTTTCGTATACTCTTGATCTAAAAGCCAAAAATGGTCGAACTCTTTGGTCTAAAAATGGTGGAAAATGACATCAAAATGAATTATATTTCCTTATCCTTATCTTCTATCTATAGAGCCGAAATGGCGATATCTAGAGGTATCTAAAATTATTACCTGTCCTTCATGCCGCTGCGCGCTTTGGTGAAGGTTGAAACCGGGCACCTTGTCGTCGTCGCCGGAGTTACGGCATCTAAATGTGATTTGTAAAAAGTAAATATATCATATACTTTTATGGCATCCTTTGCAGATTTGACTTACCCCTTGCAGGCGAGAATTGCGGAAATGAAGAAAAGGATGAAGAATACGAGCGTGGCAGCGGCCAACACGATCGCCGCCACTTTCCAGGAGCCATCGACGATTCCCTGCAGGGTTTTCTATGTTTAATATCATCTATTGTTTGTAATACTACTACAAATTGTAAGTCTTTTTAGAGATCACAACAATCCCATGCGAATTATGCTTTTAGAGCTCGTCAATTAGTACTGGCTAGTAGTGATTAAAAGTTTGGATGGTTGAATTATCATTCTACCTCATCTAATCTATCAGCTTGAAAGAGATGCTGAAAGGACAGAATGATAGAAGAGGCCTTCACTTTAGCGTTGTTTTTTTACTTACGGCGTTGGCCGGGTTCATCACTCTGCCCGCCTCATCTTGGCAGTACGAGTTTTCGCGGATTCCCCACGGGCAGGCTTCACAGTGCTCAACCTGGAAGAGTTAAACGTAGGCTGAAAGACTGACAAGGGAATAGATACCTTACACTACGCAACGCTCCTCACCACGTTCATATAATGGCAGTGTTGCAGCTCCCCCGCCGCGTCCAACTTTTATATCTCGCCTCCCTGTTCGTCTACAGGTGTGTAAAGTATACCAAAATGTTTGTCACTCTCTGGCGAGCATTTTGGTATACTTTACAGCCCGTTAGGTCAATGGGGAGTCGAGATACAGCAGGTGGGAGCCGGTTGGGAGCGGCTGAGAGAACCACAGCAGTTATATGTAGCGAGGAGTGTATGGTATCTTATTACGATTATTTGATTATACCTGTCCATTGAGGGAGGCCCGATCGCAGACAAAGTAGAATCCGGTTTGATTCTGACGGCAGGCCATCTTTTGGGTGGCCACCGGCGACTGGGAGCAGGTCAAATCGCACTGGGCCCCGATCATGTCACCGAGACAGGCAATCGACACGGCCAAGGACAACCTGAAGGATTTGGCATAGGTATATTTTTAAATATTGTTAATATTAACTCAAACAATTGCCTGATCTTAAAATTCCGTTTTAGAAAATGATTAATTTGGATAAAATTGATATAAACACCTACTGCGTCTGCATAATGCTTCCGCTGAACGTCTTCGACATCAACTGTCCAACTGCCCGCCCGGTAGATGGCAAATCGTTATCGAGAGGTACCTTAAAAAGGGTTCTGGTCGAATCCAAGCAACCACAAAAAGAATAAGCCTAAAAATATTTTTTAAACCAACCACAAATGTGTCAACATGGGTGAGCGTCATTGTGTTCACCAACGACCCGTCGGAGGAGCGGATGACGGGACCGAGATGGTGCACGAACACGTCGATGGCAGACTGAAAAATTGGAATTCCGAGGTTGGGCCCTCCCACAACATACCGGCTTGCTAGGGAGTTGCACGACGTAGTCTTCATCCCAGCGCTCGGCACCGCGCACCAGTTGGCCGTTCTGGTCGAGCGCGATGAAAGGTGTTGTGAAGTAGCGGACGGATTGGCTGAATAGAGAATTTTAGGTACTGGTCTATTAGCGGGGGGATTTCCCCCAGTAATACTACACACCTCTCTAATAACGAAAAGTTTTCGGATTGGTCGAAAATGTTTAAAAAAATTATCAAAAGGGTCAAAATTTCCAGAATCCAAAAATTCCAGAAATATCTTCTTTTTTAATCTCCTAGCGAAAATACAAATAACAAGGCTAAAACACTGTAGATTCTTATCCCCCTCCCCCGCTAACAGCTCAGTACCAAATTTCTCGCCAAAATCGGTGAAAAACGTACTCTGGTGCTGAGATGATAAATGTGAATGAGAAGAAGCACTCGGCCGAGTCGCGGCGAGACAGGTAGCTGCACGTTTGGCCCTGGAATTTGAATAAATAGTAATTTTTCAAGTAAAAATCAGAGGCTACACTACGCAACGCACCTGTGGACAGACGCACGTGTTGCCGGCGGGGAGGGCGAGCTGTGGGTTGGCGTAGCCCTTCAGTTGGAACTGAATCTGCACGCCGCCCGCGCTGTTCTGGCCGTACTGAAAAAAATCGCAAATTTTTCCATTTAGTAGCGGGAGCCATCATAATTCCCGCAAATTTTTTATAGAATAAAGTTATAGAAAAATCCTGTGCGCTTAAAAACGCTCCAAAACGTAGATTAACAACGTTTTAAAGTACGTAATTGACCACTTGCCAAAATCAACAATAAAAAGCCGGAAAAAAGCCTACATTGACAGAATTGACTTGCTGCGGCGAGAGCATCGAGTTGACGAGGCCTCGAGCTTGATTTTCAAAGTTCTGAAATGGGTGGCATGAAAACGGAAGTATGTACGGTGCTTTGGCGTGATCAGGGTGGGGGTATTTTCCTTAGAAACCAATTTTTCTCATATGAATAGATCAGGTATTTTAACCATTCATAAACATTCTAAATATTTTTAACAATGCTCAAAAGATCGATTTTTCCACTAAAAATAGCAGATTTTCGACGCAAACGTGGAAATTTCTAAGCGTTCTAGATTATTTTTCGACTTTCAATCGAATCCAATTTTAGCAAAAAAATGATTAAACACCGACTATTTCATTACTAGGCATTTCTCGAAGATGGGAAAAATCCGGTCCCCCCCTCCCCCGATAATGCCAAAGAACCCTACGAGGCTTAAAGGGCCAACAAGTTACCTGTAACAATCCTTGGGTGACCGCCACTCGTTGATCATTTTGGTAGTTCTGATCCCATTGTTGCTGGCTGGCCGCGAGGCTGCACAGTATCGCTAGTAGCGCTGTGGATCGCCACATTCTAAAAGTATTTTCTTGATAGAGGTGATCGAAAGAGAGAGAGAGAGAGAGAGAGAGAGAGAGAGAGAGAGAGAGAGTGAGAGAGATAACCAAAAAAGAGTGAAACCACAAAAGCCAAGTGAAAGTAAAACAAAAATTCTCCCTAAAAAATTGATTGAACGGCGAGCCCGGGGGCACGGATGGGTGGTGTGGAAATTCGGATGTTTGCCCCGAAGGGGTGGAGGAGTGGTAGGGACCGAGGGGACCCACTGGGGCTCTCAAATCTTTGACTCTAATATATTGTGCGCGACGGCAAACAGGACCCACTATGCCCCGGAGGGCACACAATGTTACCACTTTAACTCTCTCTCTCTCTCTCTCTCTCTCTCTCTCTCTCTCTCTCTCTCTCACTCTCTCACTACCTGACACCCGTCTGGCCCTCAATGCACCCTGTTATCGGCGGCGATCTAACAAGCAAAAATTGGTTCAAAACTAGGATTTAAATACACAAAATCTAGACCAACGACTTTATTTTTAAAGTAATGGAATAAAGCAAATGTTAAAGGCTTAAAAAATATAAAAATTGCGTTTGTGTACTAAAATTTCGAATTTTTTAAGGTTTTTGAAAGATTTGTAGAGAGTTTTTCTTCTTGAAAAGACGTTAAATCGAAAAAAAACAATATTAAAATACTTCTTATTACGCTACTCCTTTTATTTCCCCCGCCCCCGGACCCCCCACCCCCGATATTGGCAAAGCACCAATACGTACAAGAAATACATTACATAAGTCGGTTTTTTTGCCTAACTTTAAGCAAAAAATTCAGTTAGCCGCTCGCAAAAGTCGAAATCGAGGGACCAAACAAAAAGCTCATTCAGATTCATCTCCGGCGCATCCAAAATGCCGAAAATCGTTTATTTGTTTTCGGGAGCAATTTGCCTATAGTCCCGGTCTCTCCCTGTCTCTCCCACTCTCTCTCTCTCTCTCCCTCACTATGCCACCCATTCTCCGGTCAAAATAAACAATACCCGAGTCGCCAAAATGGAACGGGTTCTGTTGGTCGAAGGGAAAGGAGGAAAGGAGGAAAAGAGGGTTAGAAAGGAGCGAGGCAGCCAGAATTATCGGCTATTCCTCCACGGCGCCGCGCTGAGTCAGTGCTCCGGCCAGAAATTCGGCTATTATGAAACATGGGAACCATGCAGGAATGTGTTCCAAAATTTAGTAATCTATCAAAAAAATTATTAATAAAAGATTAGCGGCGCTTTGGCAATATCGGGGGGGGGGGGGAGACCGTATGGTTTTCTTATAAGAACAGAAATGCCTAGGAGGGTAAAAATACGGGCTCCGATACTTTTTAATACGGTTTAATTATATTTGAAGTGGAAATAGCTAGGAAGAAATACTTGAATTTCAAAAATGATCGAAAGTTGACCATTTTGAGGCGAAAATCGATATTTGTTGTATTTTCCATAAAATCTGTGTGGTTGTTGAGCTAAGGAATAGACAGAACTAGTGTAATTTTAGATGCGCAATGCAACAATTATATTAGAAAATTTCTATGATCAAAGAATTCGAAAAAATTGGTTCCCGCCCCCGATTTTGCGAAAAAAACCCGCAATAACTCAAACCCTAAAGTTTAAAAAGGAAATTGCATGGATGTTGATCGACGCAAAAGAAACGTATACGTTAAAACGATTTTAGAAGAAATTGCAAGTTTAAATAGTAATGAAAATGGAAAAATAGCATCAGAAACTTGATAATCACCAGCATCCCAGAATTACACGACTACAACCATTAGCAGCCGAAGCGCGTCTAGAAATGAGTCAGTTCTGCATTTCGCTATTTGCCCAAAATGGGCACCTCCGCACGATAACTCATCGGCCGGGCCGAAGGAGAAGAAGCGGCGGGGGTGGGCGGGGATGAGACGATGTGCCGAGGAGTCATAAGTGACCATAAATTCGGGGTCGAAGCCTCGGGATGTTTGTGGCAAAGACTGTAGAAAGCGAGAAGGTTGGGCCTTATCATGGCATACATACAGCCCCGTACACGGGCAAACAACCCATCGATTCAAGATACGGCCCGCGAGGGGATGGGCTTCTTTGTGGAATCGTCAGCTTCAAGGAAAAGGAAAACTAGAAAAAGCGATAAAATCCAAGTAAAATCCGAAGAATTCGAAGGATTAGCATGTAAATTGGAGTATTTCGTTGGCTACTCGGTGCCGAATTGGACAGTCGTGTTTGATGCGCGCATTGCAAAATCGCCTTTTCCCAGCTAGAAGTCCAAAAATTCCTTATAACGTATTAGTAAGTGTTTAATAGTGTTTCCAGCAAAATTTAACTATATTTTAACCCGAAAAATTAACAAAGAACTTTGAAAAACAAATTTTATTGGAAATTTTGATCGAAAAAAATATTTTTTTTTGTGTTTTTTTCATCAAAATTGGTATTTATTTTTATCAAATAGTAAAAACAGTTTAGAACTGCTTAATCTATATATATTAGAAAAATTGGAACGTTATCAATAAGCTGGTCCCCCGATAATGCAAAAGATCCGAAAAAGAAAATGAGCTCATTCTTAAAAACACGCAGAGAACCAGAAAACGGATTGAATAAACGCTGACCTGCTTCAAGGATAAAAACAGAAATGCGTTTCTTTCAAACCTAAAATTACTTCAAAAAAAGAGCCCGACCGATGGCAAGGTGCCCCAGATAAGCGAGTGCTGCTACAACTATCCCGCCCCGCTCCGGTGTGCGCTCCCGGAAAAACAGCAAATAAAAGGGGGGGCGGTGGTCCTCGAAACGGTGCCCCCCCCCTCTCCTTCCCCTTGACCCTCCAGCCGAAATAAAAAATGAGGCCATTCCCCAAATTTCGAGCGCGATCCCCGAGCACGCGCGCGAGTGGTGTCGCTTTCAGCGCGGGGCGGGGCGGGCGCTGGGCCCCTGGGGGGTGAGAATTCGTGGGGCCAACATTGACTCATTCCCTGTTCACGACGGACACACACACATACACACCTGCAAACAAACAAACACATCTCCAACCAACCCTCCCGGCCAACAAACCCGCTTCGAGCCCTCGGGCGGCGGGCTCGAGAACAAATTTTCGTGCGCCAACAATGCCGCAAAGAAATGTGGGACTAGGGATTTTATCCTTGGGTACTTTTGATTATCGGAGGGGGGAGAGGCCAATTTTTTTCAAGCCGAGCTATGGGAAAACGCCAAATCCCGACAGCCAGGAAACCCCGGATCTTCAAACCATTTATGGGCAAAACGACCGGAAATATCACATATTGGCTGTCGGGATTTTGTAAGTCGGGATTTTGCCTGTCAGGATGTTGGCTGTCGTGGTCTTGGAGTTTTCCTTAAGGCCCCAGGCTTCCGGTTTTCCAATTAAGCAAAAAAGCTTTTTGAATATCAGACTTGGTAGGCTCATGACATTTTGAAAGCTTTTATCTCGCACGATAAATGCCGATTTCCAGAGGCTTTCTGCGCCGCTTTAAATTCAGAAAAATTTTGAACACTTGAAGTTATCCGTATACAAAATCGTAGCCGATGTTCCCTGTCGACTACGACATAAAACGTGTGAATCGACGGCCCGTCGGGCTGGGGCCAAGCGTGCGAGGCGAGGCTATTGGGGAATGGACGGTGTGAGGGGCCGTATCTGTATTGAAGGGAGACGAAATACATATGCATGCCAACGGGGCTGGGAAGCTGTGATGAATCATCGACCCCCCGATCCCGAACGGGTACTATTGGATGCAGGGCGAACAAAGCCGAATGGTTGCTTGCTTGCTACGATAGGAATAAAAAGACCGGTTCTTTTGCATCATCGGGGGAAAGGTAATTTTTTCTTTAATATCCAATCTACTCATAAATAATAAATTTTTTTCTAAACGTTTTTTACTTTTCCCAAACCCAAAGACTTGACACATTTCTAGCAAAAAATACAAAAATTTCGATTTTTCGAACAAAAATGCCGAATTTTGATAAAAAATTTGAATTTCGACATTTTTGTGGAGTTTTTGATCGTTTTTCCACTTGATATCTAGCTAAATTTTATTAGCAACATGATTAAATACTTACTATTACGTTCCTAGGCACTTCTGGACCTATGTAAAAAAATAAAAATTCGGTCCCCCCTCCTACCACCCCGATACTGCACAAGCACCAAATATCATATTTTTGATCGGGCCATCTGGGAACAATATGTTTTTTATCACGGCGAAATAGCCTTGTAGCACGGGATTTTGCACCTAGAAAAGTACAATAAGTTCCATGAATTTAATAGAAATAAAACGCGCCAATTTGACGCTGAAATTCCTTCAAAAACCCTAAAGCAGGTCCAAACTTTGAGAAGGCGGGCGCTATCTAGCCCCCTGGGGGTGAACAAGGCCCTGCACAAGGTCGAAGGGCTGGCTGGGTGGTTGATGAGGAGACCTTCGCGCCCACCGGATTAGCCGGCATTAGAATCGACCACCGTTCACAACCCACCCAAA